ATTTATAACAAAATTATCACTGATTTATAACTAAGTTATCAATGTTTTACTATTACGTTATTAGTGATTTACTATTAAGTTATCGATAATTTACTACTAAATTATTAATGATTTACTACTATACTATTATGCATTTGCTACTTTATTATCATTGATTTACTACTGAGTTTTAGTGATTAGCTATTAAATTATGATTGAATTATCGCTAAGTTATTTATAATTTACTACTAAATTTATAATTTAATTACTATTAAACTAAAATAAATTTACTATTATGCTATCATTAATTTACTACTAAGTTTTTATTGATTTACTACTAAATTATCAATGATTAATTATTAAGTTATCATTTTTTTTATAAAGTTATCATTAATTTACAACTATGTTATTATGCATTTAAAAATTATGTTATAATTAATTTATTAATAAGTTATTATGCTTTGACTATTATATTATTACTAATTTACTACTAAATTATAATTGATATACTATTAAGTTATATCTCTAATTTACTACACCAACTTATTACTGATTAACTATTAACTTACTTATGATTATTATTAAGTTATATTGATTTATTTTTATTTTTCCATTATTAATTACTACTTAGTTATAAATTATTTACTATTAAATTATCATTGATTTATCACTAAGCTATTTGTGATTTATTACTAAATTTGTCAATTAATTACTACTCCCTTTATTTGTTCCAGTTAAATTGTCACAATTGATTTTTTTGGTTAAATTTTTTTAACTTTGATATCTATTATTTACAAAACATATATTTAGAAACCACTTAATTTAAAGTTTTTAAAATATTTTTTTCATATATTTATCAATAATAAATAAAAAATAATAGGTTATTAAAATTGAAAAAAATTGACGAACAAAAATCAAAATGTAATAATTTTATTAGAATGGAGGGAGTATTAAACTGAATCTTATTTACTATTAAGTTATCATTAATTTACTATTAAGTTATCATTGATTTATTACTAAGTTATCAATAATTAACTACTAAGTTATCACTTATTGTTTATTAAGTTATACTTAATTTACTGATATGTGTTATACATTTACAATTATATAAATGATTTACTATTAAGTTATTTGTTATTTCCTACTATGTTATTATGTATTTATTTTTATGTTATCATACATTATTTTATCAATTATTTACTACTAAATTATTATTTATTTACTATTAAGTTATTATTATTTTACTATTAATTTATCCATAATTTACTATACAGTTATCATTAATTTAGTATAAAGTTATTATTGATTTTGTCTAAATTATCACTAATTTATAATAAAATTATCAATAATTTGCTACTATATTATTACACATTTACTACTAAGTTATAATTGATTTACCATTAAATCTTCTATAATTAATTTAATTGTGTAAATCATATTAATAGGTGTAATATATTATAAACACTAAATTTATTGCCATTTTTACAAATCGATTATAATGATAAAAGTATTGCCATTTTACAAATTTATTTTTTAATTTTTGTAGTTGATAACAATGGTCAATGGAGAACTAGAGGCTGGACAACTTTGAAAGAATTGTTTACACTACCTCCGAATGAGCGTATTGTAGTGTCTGCAAACTCTGATAAGCAACCAATTCATGAAGAGGCTTAACTGTTGGCTAGATTTCTAGGCATGCTTGCCCGTAATGGAATGAAATTGCCTATTCATTATGAAACATGGCATAAAGTTCCAGCAGAAGTAAAGGCTAATGCTTTAAACTTTATTGAGGTATTATTATAATTAATTACATATAAAAAAATTTATTATTTTAATTTTGGTTTATTGATTAAAACTTTTCTTTTTTGCATTATTACAGTCAAGATTTGTACTTAAAATACCAACTTCATTTGTGCTCAAGTCATTAGGAAAGAAATGAAAAGATTATAAGCATAATTTGAAGAATAAGTATTTCGATAGAAATACAACTGTAGAGGTGACGATGGAAAATCTACCCTATAATGTGATTAGATGGCAATATAAACAATTAGTTAGATTTTGGTTCTCAAGAAAAGAAGAAGTACAAATTTATAACTTTGTATAGTAGAATGAAATAATGAAAGTGTTTTTGGTAATATTTGTATTTTTACGATATACCCAATTATTTTTTATGATAGGAAAGAGAACATATTGGGATTGGGAGTAGAAAGCAACAGAATATAGCCACACAAATGGATCAAAAAGTTTTGCAAGAAAGCAAAAAAAAATAGTAAGTTTATGATTTAAAACTTATTCCAATGAATGAACTATTTGTGCCGTTAAAAGGTAAATATGCAAATTAACAGTTATTGTACTATTTTAATAGTTTTGATAGTTTCAATACATGATATTAAACTTATCGAAAGTTTTGAAATTAGTTGAGACAGATGATATGTATGAAAAAGTTATTATTTATGTCTATTTAGGTAAAATTACAAATTTTTTGTTATTGTTCAATTTAAATAGTTTGGATAGCTTCAATACTTGATATTAAACTTGTCTAATTGATTGAACTTTGTTTCTACAGTTAATATGGGTGAAAAAGTTATCATTTATGTCTATTTGGGACTATTTTTGCCTTTAAAAGTTAAAAATACAAATTAAACTTTTGGATGGCTTTCAACAGTTTGAATGGCTTCAATCCATGATATTAAAGTTGTCCAAATAATTGAATTGGGTTGCCATGATCAATATGTGTGAAAGGCCAAAATGCTTTTATTGTTTGCATATGTTTAAGACTATTGTGTTGTAAATGGGCCAAAATATAAATACATGATATTAAAATTACTCAAAATTTTTGAACTTGAATGCCAGGCATGATATGCATAAATAAGTTACGATTGATATGTATCCTATCAAATAGCATATGTTGTTGTATAGGAGATTGAAATGGGTGGTCAAATTGGACGTGTGAAACTTTTTTGCTTAACACACACAAAAAAGGGATAGATCTTACATGAATGTTGAAACACAAGAAATTGTGGTAATTTGTAATAACTATTTTAACCAAAAGTAAATATTTACTCTTTTTAACATATTGTCAATTAATCATTAAACTTGATAGTTGTATATGATTAATTTACAAGAGAAAGCGAAAGAGAAAATGGCTGCTGAGATTGAAGTAGCATCTGATGGTTCTCTCAACATGCAAAAATTGAAAAATCAAATATTCATAGAAGTTGTTGGAAAAGAAAGGCATGGATAGGTCTGAGGCCTTGGATTGGGTCCAACACCATCTACCTACTGTGGACGTAACTCTCAGCAATTTATATTCTCAGCAAGTCAATCTTCACGAGACATTTCGATATTGAGAAAAGAGTTGCAAACTATGCAATAATGTTTCCAGCAAATGGGAGCAGAAAGAAAACAGAAGCGTGTCAAAATTGAGGAAGAACGTGCTAGGATGGAGCAAAAACGTGCAAAATTTCAGCAGTTACATGATCGATTTGATCATCTTATGAATTTTGTGCAACAACAATTTTTAGGAACTGATCTTAGTGGTCCTCCAACTTAGGTATTATATTTAATAAATATTTATATTTTTTAATATCAACAAAACTTACAATGAAGTGTTGAAAATTGTATGCTACTATTTAGTAGGTTCTTAAGCACGCTAGTGACCAAGGTGGAAAAATTCCTTCATCAATTGATAGCCTTCAAAATGTATGCAGTCATCAATTTCATACATTTTAATTTTTATTTTGTTAATGTATGCAAAAATTTTGAATGTTAATATTAATTATTAAATTTTGTGTTAGTTAGATGCATATTTGAATATGAAATAAGTTTATATTAATTTCAGTATCTGAATTTAAGCTTGTTTATGAAAATAATAAATATTAACAAAAATTTTTTATTTAAAAAAATACATTTCCCAATTTTTCAGCGTTTGTGTTTAAGAATGTCGCTAAATAAATAATTTAGTAGCGTTTGTATCATAAAACACTACTAAAAGTAACAACACTCTTGCTTGAAAACGAGCTAAATTAGCAGTGTTTTTGTGATATAATGCCTCAAAAGTAACGACATTTTTCTAATAAAAATGCCACTAAATTAGTGGCGTGTCAAAGTTACAAACGCCGCTAATATAGTAGTATTTTCTAGACACAAATGCCGCTAATGTAACGGTGTTTTCTAAATACAAATACCGCTAAGGTAGCAGCAATTTTCATATACAAATGCTACTAATATAATGATATCTTTCAGATATAAATGTCACTAATGTAGCAACGTTTTTTAAAAAAACATCTCCATTTTTTGTGATGCATGTATAGCCAGTACTTTGATTGGTATTTTTCGTAAATGTCGTAAATCTTTTAATAAAGTTTATAAATACCGCTAAAACATAAAAAAAACGTCACAAAAAACCAAAATCCCTGTAGTGAATGTTTGCACTATGATTGATTACGAGCCTCTATTCTTTGGAGTCGTGGCGTATCATAAGAAAAGTATCCACTTCATGACGACGTCAAGGTTGACAAGTTGTAAAGTTGACAATTTGTGAGGGTGAAATTTTTTATTAGGCTTCAGTACTGTATTTTATCATAATTAATTACAACAATTGACAAATTAAAATACAATTAAATAACAAAATTTATATACAATGAAGTTTACACCTAAAATCCTAATATTCTATATTTTTATATACATTGTGAATGCATTTCGATCACTTTATTATATATAATGATTTAAGTTAAAATAATAAAATACGAAAGACAAGCAGGTTGAATTAAAGAGATAATATTGAAGTCTATATCACTGTGCACCTACTACTCAAAGTCATTTTCCATTCATTTTCATTCTGCGTATGAATTTCTTGAATCAGACAAAATAATTTAATGAACCTTTTTCTTGGTCAGCTCCTAGGGATAGTAACTCTCCCAAAAAAAAAATTGCATTAATTTGAATAGTAACAATTAGTAATGACCCTTATATCATATTGAAATTTTTTAGATGGATGTACTAAGTTTCCAAAAACCATTTTCTCCATTGCATTTTTGTTGTTTGACTTTCCATGGCTGCCAAGGGTTTCTCCGACGCATCTTCTTTTGGTTTCAAATGGAACCATGACGTCTTTCTAAGTTTCAAAGGGGAAGACACTCGGAAGAACTTCACGGATCATCTTTATGCAGCTTTGGTGAGAGATGGAATGGTTACCTTCAGAGATGACGATAAACTTCCCAAGGGAAAAGACATCTCCTCGGAGCTCCTCAAAGCAATTGAAGAATCAAAACTTTCTATAGTGGTTTTCTCTAAAAACTATGCTTCTTCCAGGTGGTGTCTTGATGAGCTTGTCAAGATTATTGAGTGCAAAAACACAACAGGCCAGGTTGTTATTCCAGTCTTCTATGATGTTGATCCATCTGATGTCCGGAAACAGATCGGAAGTTATGAAGAAGCTTTTGCTATACACGAAGAACAATTTAAAGATAAGATGGAAAGGATCAAAAAGTGGAGAGAAGCTCTTACAGAAGCTGGAAATTTATCCGGCTGGGACCTTCAAAATATGGCAAACGGGTAATATTTAATTTTTAAGATGAATCATCCAAAAAATTCTAAGATATGTATATATATGTACATCTTCGTTTCTAAATAAAAAAAAATTAAATGAAACTAATTTTAATTACTAGTTAGTGCTATTAAAATTATTATATGCGCCTAATTTTAAATTCTTGTAGTCAATTTATATCTTAGTATAATTTTTTTTTTTTTTTTATGTTTGATGACTTAAACCTTAAAATTAAGATTGAAAATTCTACGCAAACTATAAATACCTGAAAAAATATCTAATTTATTTTTGTTGTAAAATTGTTTGTTTGAAATGTAACATGAGAATATATTAGATATAATTATTGTAATATAATTAATTAATTAAAATTTACTATTGTAAAGTGTCCATCAAAAAATTATTTAAATGATGAACACTTAAATAATTTTTTGTTATAATTAATTAATTATAGTATTGTAATCAAGAGAATTATAAAAATTAAATAATCAAAAGCGGGTGTTTACTGATAATCAAATTTTCTTTTTCTTGTGTTTTTTCATCGCAAATGATTTTACAGGTATGAATCGAGATTCATCGAAAAAATTGTCGAAGATGTTATCAAAAAATTAAACCGTAATATTCATAATAGTTTGCACGTCACCATTCACCCAGTAGCTCTAGAATCACGTGTCAAAAGGGTGATGAGATTATTAGATATTGGATCTGAAGAAGTTCGCATAGTGGGCATCTATGGAATGAGCGGGATAGGTAAGACCACCATCGCAAAAGCTGTCTACAACATGGTTTGTGAAGGATTTGAAGGATGCAGTTTCCTTTCAAATATTAAAGATGACTGGCAGCAACCTAATGGTCTTGCTAGGATGCAAGAGCAGCTCCTTTCTGATATCTTGAATTGGAAAAAAATCAAGATAGATAATATTGACAAGGGTGTCAATTTAATGAAGGAGAGGCTTTGTTGTAGAAGAGTTTTTATAGTTCTTGATGACTTGGATGAGTCAGCACAATGGAGACCATTAGTTGGTGATCGTAAGTGGTTCGGTCGAGGAAGTAGGATTCTTGTCACAACTAGAGATGAACATTTGCTCACTGAATTAGAGGTGGACGAAAGATATAAGGTTGAGCAATTAAATCATGAGAAATCGATTCAGCTTTTAAGTTGGTATGCATTTAAGAGGCCTGCTCCAAAGAAAGATTACTTCGAACTTTCCAACATCTTGGTGGAGTATGCTCAGGGACTCCCCTTAGCTCTTGAAATTTGGGGTTCTTATTTGTTTAAAAGAAGCCTCCCAGAATGGGAAAGTTTTGTGGAAAAATTACAAAAGGTAGCTCACCAACAAATTCAAAAGAAGCTCAGGATAAGCTTTGACAAACTAGATGATCATTTATTGAAAGCCATGTTTCTTGATATTGCATGTTTTTATATTGGGATGGATAAAGATTATGTTATGACAATGTTAGATGGTTGTGGATTCTTTCCAAAAATTGGTATGAAAGTTCTTCTTGAAAGGTCTCTTATAGCAATTGACCCAGATAATCATAAGCTACAAATGCATAACCTACTCCGGGATATGGGAAGAGAGATTGTTTATGAAGAATCACCATTTCACCCAGGATATCGTAGCAGGCTTTGGTTTCACCAGGATGTGGTAGATGTATTAACGAAACACACGGTAAAAAGTTAAATGCATTTCGTAAATAGATCTAAAAATGTACGATGTGCTATTCTTAATTAGAATTAATAATATTCTTTATTTGTATTTAGGGGATGGAACCAGTGGAAGGTCTCAGCTTAGACGTACCAGCACTAGAAGATGGCCTTATAAGCACTGAAGCATTTGCAAAGATGATCAACTTAAGATTGCTGAAAATTGATTCTGTAAATTTCACTGGTTCCTATGAAAAAATTTCAAAAGAATTAAGATGGCTCTGTTGGTGTCGATGTCCACTAATGGTTTTACCGCCCAACCTTCATCTAGACAACTTGGTTGTTCTTGAAATGCAACACAGTAGTATCAAAAAAGTTTGGAAGGAGACAAAAGTAATTAAAATCACTCACAATGATATGTGTTTCTTTTTATTTTGATATTCTAGATTTTTTTTTCTTAACGCACATTATGGATTTATTGTTATTTTCTTTTTCTTGTTTCAACAGGCTCTTCACAAGCTTAAAATACTAGATCTGAGTTATTCGGTATACCTTGGAGAGACACCAAACTTTGCAGGACTCTCAAGCCTACACAGACTTGAACTTGAAGGTTGCACAGGTTTAGTTGGGGTTGATCAATCTATTGGACATCTGGAAAAACTTGAATTCTTGAATTTGGCAAAATGCAAGAACATAAGTGAACTTCCAGACAGCATTTGCAACTTGATGTCTCTTGAGACTATGAACCTCAATGGCTGCTCAAAACTTTGCAGTTTGCCAGAGAATTTGGGTAAATTGGAAGCTTTGAGAAAGCTTGTTTTAAGTGGATCTGCTATTACAGATTTGCCTATTTCGATTGGACTTTTGAAGAACCTTGAAGATCTATCTTTGGCTGGACTTAGAAAACAGTTACCTTCTAAGTCTTGGTTCTCATACTTTTCTTCATGGATCTCACCAAAAAGTAGTGTGGGTTCTTCTTCTTTACTGCTACCAGCAACGTTCTCTCAGTTAAGCTCATTAAGAGAGCTTAATCTTTGTGACCTCAACTTGTCTGACCATGAAATTTCCATTGACTTTGGGAGTTTCCATTTTTTGAGGAGTTTGGATTTACGGGGAAACAACTTCTGTAACTTACCCGCAGGAATCAGCAACCATCCAAGGATAGGGAGACTTGTATTGAATAACTGCAAAAACCTTCGATCCCTTGCAGAGCTTCCTAAAAATTTATGGACTTTAGAATCAAAGCTTGGCACATCAATTGAGAGATACCCAAACTTATCAAACATAGGTAAAAATCTTTATAAAATCGCAAATAGTAATTGTCGCGAAGTAGCTGACATTCAAGGTTGGGATTTTCGCTCATTTCATCAATTTTCTTTTAGTTGGAATCTTGGACCAGATCTTTACCAGCCAAAGGTTTTTCTCTATCTCTCTCTGTATACATATAATATATATTATCATGCATGATAATGTTCATAACTATTAGTATTTCTTTGAAACAGAAGTGGTTGTATTCCAAGTTGAAGTTTTTGGAAGGTTACTTCCCGGTTAGAGAGGTGCCAGATTGGTTCGACTATAAAGAAATTGGATCTTCAATACCGTTTTGTATGCCTTCAATCCCGATTGGTTCAGATCGAGGTATGATTGTGTGCGCAATCTATTCGGTCAATGAAGAATGTAATGACGAAAGCACTTCTGAAGTTTCTCTTACCATATATTTTAAGAATAAAACAAAGGGCTGTGAGACTTTTGTTAGGTCACATAGTTCCCTCGATGGGAATATATGTCAAGATCATGCGTGGGTGAGTTACATGGCACCTAGTTTTTTTATCGATGATGAAAACAATTTTATCTATGTTGTAAACGCTGAAGAAGGAGATGAAATTGAAGTTTCAATTGAGCCGCAAGGTGGAATTTTTGTGAAGAAATTTGGTGTTCATCTGCGAATTCATGGGTAGATGGGGTTAAGTTTTAAGAGCCTTCATTGTTAAGACCATTATTAATTTAATTAGTTGTCAATATCATAATAGAGAAATGATGTGACCTGTTTCGTTTCGCAAATTAAGCACACTTGGGTTAGTTTTGCTTTTCATTTTGTCGTTTATGCTTCGGCTTCTGATTCTACATTTGTGTTCTCATTAGCTTTCAATTCAACAGCTCCCATCTGTTTTCCTACACGTGGAGGTACAAAGAAAGAAAGAGATTTGGATCTTGAATCTTAATTTTTTAAATGAATTGCTAGGTTTTTTTAACTCAAATTTATTTCAGTAAAGTTGTTTAGTAACATTTCTATTTTGTTAAATTCATTTAAGGTTTTTTTTTATTGTCTATAAATATATGATTATGTTTATAAAGTTAAGAATATTGTTTCGTGAGATACTGATAAGCTATTATTATACATAAAATCATGTTTATTGACATATTTTTCTGTTAAAAAGTTAGCTACTATCTACTAATTTATCATTTTTAAAATGATTATCAAATACAATATAAATAAAATAAATTAATTTCAAAAGGTAATAATTGATGCAACAACATAATTATATGCACCTCATATGAAATTAAGAATATATAAAACAAAAAAATCTGCTTAATTTTTCTCCATGAAAAAATATAATTATATGTTTTTATTTAGTTATTGATTTTTTTTTGGCATTAAATTCAGAATTTAAATCTTTGCAAATGAGTATAAAATTTTCTTTATAGCATGATTTTAGACAATTGCAATATTCATCACTACCCAATATGCATGGTACCTTTTACTTGAAATATTCAAACTTGCCACTGACAATCATTGACCGTATTATTACCACAAACAATCTCTTCCATGTAGCAATAATTTTGTGGTTTCTATAGTTTCATATAATAAATTTTTTAATTTAAAATTTTAAGTTTTGATTAAAAAAAATATGAAATATGCACTAATAAAGTCCACAATTATATAGTAAAAAATTAAAGAATTTTGAAATATTGCTTGTAAAAAAAGTATAAAAAACTAATTTTAAGTGAAAGAAATTTCAATTATTTGGATTCAAGCAATATTTTAATTTTTATAAATATCACTATTAAATGAGAAATGATAAAAAAAGTCTTTATTTAAACTTTTTTTATAAAGAATCAAAATAGAAAATCAAACTTATTTGTATTGTCTGCTTCTGAACCTTATGCATAGAAGACTAACCGAAACAATAATGCAGCTATTTGGCATGCAAGATTAGGCCATGTTGGATATCAGTAATAGAAGGAAATCGCGTCCAAGCAGATGGTTGATGGCGTTCCTATTCTGAAAAGCATACCTCTAGACTTAGTTTGCCAAGGATGTCAATTTTGCAAATCTCAACGCTTGTCTTTCAATACATCGCAAAATCAAAGATCAAAATCTTTTGATTTGATTCATTGGACTTGATAGGACCAACCAAAACATCAAGTTACAGCAATTATCACTACATGATGATTTTTGTTGATTATTTTTCCAGGTTTGCTTGGGTGTATTTTCTGAAGCAGATGATGAGGCTTTCGACAAGTTTCTTGGGTTCAAGAAGCAAGTTGAGAAGGAACTTGATGTTCAGAGCAAGTGCCTAGGAACAAACAATGGGCTTGAGTACACGGAAACAGACTTTCTTAAGTTTTGTGGAGAGAATGGGATTCAAAAGTAAATAACATGTTGAAAGACTCCTCAACAAAATGGAGTTGCTGAAAGAAAACTTGCACATCTCTCAAAGCAAGTTTGTTATGGATACATAACAAGAATCTCCCTCGAAAATTGTGGGTTAAAGCTAGCAGTTGCTCATGTCATGTAGTGAACTATTTACCTCCGAGGCAACGCAACCAATCTCCCTTTCAGCTTTTATACGATAAGAAGCCAAATGTGAGTTACTTGCGAGTTTTGGGTTCAGTTTGTTATGCTTTTGTTTCAAAAAGTGACAGAACAAAACTAGATCCAAATGCAAAAAGGCGTGTTTCTGCCAGTTATGATCAGCATCAGAAGGATTGGAGGTGCATGATCTAGAAACCAAGAAGTTCACTACCTCTCGAAATGTGGTATTTGATGATGTTTCACTTTCCTGTAAAACCTTAGAAAAGATTGAGTCAAACATCAAAGTTAATGAATTTGCAAAGTTTAAACCAAGCCTACATGACGACTTTTTCAATCATGAAGAATTCTAAGAGTCTAGAGAAAGGGGGAGCAGCAAAGAAAAAGGCTGCAACAACAAATTTGAAAGTCAACAATAGGAACAAGAAAGAGATGATCAGATTACGGTCTAGCCGAGAAAGAAAGCAACCAGCTTGGCAAAAAGACTATAAAGTCCAAGCAAATAGGCCCACTATAACTCAATGCTGTTTTATAGGTCCAATTGACTCTCGTGAACCTTCATGCTTTGAAAAGGCTGGAAGGCACCTAAGATGGGAAGTAGCAATGCGAGAGAAAATTTCAGCACTCATAAAGAATAATACATGGGAGATTGTGCCAAAGCCCAATGAGGCAATGACATTGAACCAGTAACATGCAAATGGGTTTACAAGTTTAAGACAAAGGTGGAAGGATCAGTGGATCGATACAAAGCACTGTTGGTTCCTCGAGATTTCTCTCAACATTATGGACAGGATTATAAAGAGACATTTAGCTCAGTTGCCAAGATGACAACCGTCAGATCTCTCATCTCTTTGGCTGCCCATAAGGGGTGGAATTTCTGGCAAACATCAAAAATGCATTTCTTTATAGAGAATTAGATAGAGAAGCGTTTATGAATCAAACGCACGGTTTTGTCTCTAAGGAATTTCCTCACTATGTTTTCCAGCTTAAGAAAGGTTTATATGGCCTACGTATGGAAAAATCTCTGAATACTTAATCCTTTGTGGGTTCGAAGTTCTTGGCTCTGACTCAAGTATATTTGTCAAGAAAAATTTTGAGATGCATTTGTTGTTTCTTTTATATGTTGATGACATGATTATTCCAGGAGATAATTATGTTAAAATCAATACTTTATGTGATGAATTGGCGATTCGATTTGAGATGAAGAATCTGGGAAAAGCTGGATGTTTTCTTGGATTGGAGGTTGAGGAATTGGAAAGTGGTTTATTCTATATGTTTAAAACTTACTGGAACATGTTTCAATGGGAGATGCAAAGCCAAAAGGGACTCCCATGCAACCGCAAATCAAGTTAAAAAGGGATGAAGCAAGATCAATAGTAGGCATGCACAAGTTTCGCCAACTTGTTGGTAGTTTGATTTATCTGAATATAACAATACCCGATTTGTCTTTCTTTGTAGCTCTTATCTCTTAGTTCATGGAATGTCCTCTCAAGTCTCTCTTATTCATACCGGAAAAAGAATTTTAAGATATGTAAAGAGTATTGAGGATCACTACAACTCTGATACCATTTGTTAGGCAAAAAAATCACAATCCAATCAAGCCAACAGAAGTAAAATCAAACAATCAATCAATCACATAAGAGACAAAAATTTAATGTGGTTTAGTCCAACCGACCTTCATCCACGGATGAGAAGTAAGATCCACTAGCTATAGAGAATTATAAATATATATCAAATCAAATCAATCTCACTCAACAATCAAAACCTATAGACTCTTTTAATCTCTTTTGGTCTAACGGAGTATTTTCAACTCAAATAAACACAAATCCATGTGCACCTTTTCAACGCAAACAAACATATACCTATATGTACCCATTAATCATACCTATGTGAACCATCTCAATCTCTTCTAGTCCACTCTCAAACAATCAAACATACTCAGCCATAAGATGTAAATCCCCGGTACTCCTATGAGGTGTCTATACTACAAAACCTTACAACTCTCTTACGTCTTTTTCTCATACCTAACCCTATAAAAACTTTACATATTTATAACCATACAAACTTGCCTATTAAGAATCCATTTCCTTTTAGAATTCTTATTCTGTAAGTTTTCTTGTCCATCAAATAATATCTAACAAATTTCAAACAAATCTCTTATGGGATTTAGGTCACTATTTCCTAACAAATAGCACTCTTGAGTTTGGAATGCTATACAAGAAGAATGGAAACTTTTTATTAAGTGACTTTGTGGATTCTAATTGGGCAAGTAATGTCGAAGATAGAAGATCAAAAACTGGCTACTGTTTTAATATGGGATCGGCTGCAATTTCATGGTGTAGCAAGAAGCAAGCAAACGTTGCTTTGTCTAGTACCAAAGCAGGATGGTGCTGCAACAATGGCTGCACAAGAAGGAGCTTGGTTGAAATAGTTAATAACTAACATCTACAAGAAAGTGGAGTATCCCATTACTTTGAGCTGTGACAATCAAAGCGCAATCAAGTTAGCATCAAATCCAATATTTCATGCTCAAACAAAGCACATAAAGGTTCAACACCATTTCATTCAAGAGACAATTATTGGAGAAGAGTTTAAGTTAAAGAAAAATTAGAAAAAGTGATCAAGTTGCTGATGTCTTCACCAAAGCACTCACAAAGCCGAAGTTAGAGCTCTTTCGTGAAGCGAAAGCATGCACTAAGGGGGAGTGTTAAAGTTTAGTGCATATTGTGTCATTTTTAATTATACTTAGATTAATGCATTTGTTTTGGTAGAGTTCATTTAGATTTAGTAAAGTCAAGGTTGTTAAAGACCCTTTTAGAAGGACATCATGGCCCACTTAAGAGTAGATTTCTTAAGAGTAGCTAACATTTCTCAAATTCTACATATTTATAGACTTTCATGAATCGATTTTTTCAAAGCTATCCACTTCATGAGGACGTCAAGGATTTTGATTCTGTGCTTAGTATAACAAATTGGGTTTTGATCAAAAGAAAAAAAATATATATATAGAATCGTAGAAGGGACGAAAAGTTCTTTTATCCATTCTTATTGTCTTTTTGAGTGACAAGGAAATAATATCATTAAATGCTATTCTACCTTATTTATTTGAACTATTTTCTATTGTCCCTTTCTTGTATTGTAAGGTTTGGATTTTAATGTCATAATTAACTAAAATCAGCAGAATATTATAATCTAAATCAAGGGAGTATGGCATTATCAACTGTTGAGGTAAAACTATTCTTAAAAAAAATTCATAGATTTAAATATAATAAAAAATAATATCTTTTTTTTTGTATTTTTAAAAACCAAAATTTTCATGTTTCAAAAGTAAAAAAAAAAAAAAGAGATTAATGGAATAACACATATCTCTTAAGCCTTAAGGTATAATAAAAAATATTAAAAAAAACAGGTAATAGTCTTTTTAATCTAGCTTGTAAAATTAAAAATTATACCATCAAAAACGAACTCTTATTCTTAGGTGATTAGAACTTTGATCTTGTAGGATTGTTACTTCTTTGATTAGAGTGAAATATTCTCTCATTCTCTCTATTCGTGGATATAGACTTTTGTTTATGAATAGCACTTTCTTTTATGTGCTTGATATCTTTACTTTGAATTTAATTAGTTGCATTATGTTGATCTGTTTAGACGCCAACATTTCAACAAGTGCAAAAATACAATAGGTCATCTTCAAATGAGTATAAATGGAATTTGTTGTTTTATATGCATTAGTTGTCAATGGATTCTAAATTTAACTAGGTAAAAAATAATTAAAAGGAAAAATATGAGAAGATTGGATTAAAAATCTTGGTAGAGTTGCAGAGCTTCCCTCTGATTCGAGCCCTATTCCTGCTTACTACATCCCATGCTTTGAATAAAATTCTCATTTAAGATAAAAAGATTCTTGCTAGTGAAGTATAGGACTTTTAGTTTCACTGAGCATAAATCAAATCCTGAGAGCCTCGTTTGCAAAAATAAATAAATAACAACTTGGTTTTGTTTGACAATATTCTCAAATTGCCTGTTATCAGCATGGTCCTATATCAGTTGAAATTGTATCTCAAATTTTATATCAGCCTCATTTGGCTTGAAAGTTTATTTGATTAGCTATTGACATAGTTTCTAATTTTTAATTATGAACGATAAAATCGAATAATTAACCTGTAGACTCAATTATAAAAAATCTTAAAGCTGTTTTCAATTTTAACGCTCCAATGAATTTCTTTGATCTATCCTATTCATTTGGTGATTTTGGGATAACATTTTCTAGGAAACTTTCGTAGAAAGAGTAACAATCCAAAAATAAAATATAATAGTAAATTACAATAGTGAATAATTTTTTCTTTATTTATGTTCAAAATAAAAAAAAATAACAACTTGTTTTTTTTTTTATATTATTCTCACATTACTTCTTATCAGGCTGATCCTATATTAGTTGAAATTGAATCTCAAATTTGAAATCCGTCTCATATGGCATAAAAATTTATTTGTAGTTGTGAACGATAGAATCGAATAATTATCCTATAGATTTCACTATGTAAGATCATTACTCAATTAAAAAGATTTGAAAGTTGTTTTTAATTTCCGTCTCTCAAATGAATTTCTTTGGTCTGTTTAAATCATATGGTGATTTTGTGATAAAATTTTTTTGGGGGAGCTTCGTAGAAAGAGTAACAATCCAAAAATAAAATATAATAAACGAGAATAGTGTAACAATTAGGTTGCTTTTACTTTTTGTTGTGTGTGTGTGTGTTTTTTTTTCCAAAGAGAATGAAAATGAGACAACAAATAACAAATTTTGAATAGAAAACAAATAACAAAAAGCAAAATCGTTTGATAAAT